GTAAACCTGTATCTTGCTCTCACTCTGTAAAATTATCTTTTCTCTTCCTCAATATTTGTTTCACACTTGCTTTACTTTGGGGTGTCTAAGTTATTCTTCAGCCAACAGTACCCTGAGGACCAAAGTTACAGACAGCTGCCTAAAACTCTGCCATTTTAGGAAATAGGTAGCTACCTTGAAACCTGATAAATGGAAGTTTGTTAAGCCAAAGTTAAGGACACCTCAGGGGGAATAACAACTATAGGCAAGCTATGACTGTTTTCTGAAAGGAAAGTTGGAACCATCTGCATTTAGAGGCATAGAGAGAGAAGGAAAAGGGAGTGGTTGATGAAGCAAAGTGGTTACATTCTTGTGAGACCCAGGATCTCTACATTTTACATAAAATAAGGGGAATGCTAGAAGAGAAAAATGTAGTGAAGGAAGCATCAATTACATAGATATCTCTGGCTAGGTGAAAGAATGTCTGATTCTGTATGTCTCCAGTTCTGTTGCCTGTAAAGATAAACTTGTAATTCATTATTAGATTCAAATAGAATAGACTTCAGCAAGTCTTCCTTATGGGAAGTCAGCAAGGAATTTCCTTAATGAATGATATGTGGGGCCAGTACTTCACAGGTGCCTGAGGTCTTTACCTTCTCTTTTTTGTAAGGAGAAGGGATAGCTCTCAGATTTTGATTTTACAGATGCAACTCACACACAAAAAGATAAGAAACAATGAGCCCCGGAATCCCTGGTCCCACAATAACTTTTTGCAGATAGTCATTACTTTCATTGTTGTGGATGTAACTCTAGAGCAGTGTATTAAAGGGTCATGGCATTAGGAAGGTTGAAAACCACTGCTCTAGACCAGGTACAGCTCATCCCAAATTTGTCCTCTCAAAGGATCAAGAAAAGAAAGTTAGCAACAGCAAGACAAAAACAAGACAGACTGTGACAACTGTCCCACCCTGCACCTGTTTCCTGTTTCATAAGGAGGGTCTTGTTTACACAGAGAAGGGCAGGTCTTAGAAAGGAACAGGATATGCAGATGAGCCTTTAGGCATAGGGAGAAACCAACAGGAACTACTGTACCTGTAATAAATGGTTCGTTTCCTGATGCATAAAGCATGTACTTGAAGATGTTAGGTTGCAGGGGAGAAAAGTTTAATTGTGGTACTACTAAATGAAATGGGAGGGAGAAAGCCTCAAATTTCCCTCCCTGAGGAATTTGGGGGTAGGGATTTTAAGGCATTTAGAGTGGGCCAAAGTATGGAGATCACTGGTTAATCAGTGAGTAGAGGAGGAAATCATGGGACAGGGAGATGAATCAACTACATTCTTATGCTAATTTGGTTTAACTGTGGTGGTCTTCAGTATTAGCTGTTCTGCTGGAATTCAGGATGATTCTTAAACAATGTGCTGATGGAAGCTGAGGTGGGTGGATTGCTGAGTGCACAGGTTCAAGACCAGCCTGAGCAAGAGTGAGACCCTGTCTCTAAAAAATAGCCAGGCATTGTGGTGGGCGCCTATAGTTTTAGCTACTCAGTAGGCTGAGCCAAGAGAATCTCTTAAGCCCAAGAGTTTGAGGTTGCTGTGAGCTGTGATACCGTGGCACTCTACCAAGGGCAACAAAGTGAGACTCTGTCCCCCCCCCAAAAAAAAACAGTATGTAGGTCTTCTAATTTATCCCCATTTTATGGGGGAGGAAATTGAGGCCTGAGGAGATTAAGTGGTATGACTATGATTACACAAGGGTGCAGATAGTTTAGTCCCACGCAGTGTTGAAGTAACTTTCTGAGTTTCACTAAACACACATCATAGGAAATGTAGGCATACATATATATGTGATGGGTGTATTATGGTGTGATTGATTTTGGGTGGTGATGGTATATGTTGTATATGATGTGTGATATATGATTTGTATTTGTGTGATGTACGTAATATCGATACACTCCCCCCCTTCTCAGGGCCAACATGAACCCTATTTTTTAGGCCTAAGCAAGCTCAACCACATTCTCTGTGCCCAAGCAGGTCCAGAGTTAGTCTGACCAGCATCCCACCTAAGCCACCACTTCCAGAGTGGAGAACACACTCTAAACAAAACAACACTGAATTCCTACACAAGGGCAATTTTAAAATTAACTTCTGCCCTCAGGCTCCCGGCACCAAAGAGTTATGACATTTCATCTCCCGGAAGTCCCCTGCTCTCAGGGTAGGAAAAGCTGTATATAAACCCCTAAACAGAAGCTCATGTGTGCTATCCACTCAGGAATCCCCCTTCAGCATGCTGAAGGCTTTATCTTTTCTTCTTCCTTTATCTATCAATAAAATCTGTCCTTTCATTTACTCATGGTAGTCTGTGGATTCATTCTTTGAATCTCAGACCAAGGACTCAGCAGAGAGAAAGATGCCAGCTACAGTATGTATGATGTGATATGTGTGTGTACATGCACGTTGGGGGTGGTAGCCATGTTAATATGGCAAATGGCATCAGAAAGCATCAGAATCCATGATGGTTACTGGTTTCCCAGACAGCTGCTTCTCTCCTTTCTATAATATATATTGATAATTTAGACTGGGGAGAAATAAAAATGGAAGACAAAAGCTTTAGAGAAGGTTTGACTTGATAACAGTATAGTATAAAGGTCTTGGGAGCAAATTTGTCAAATAATCAAAGAAGAGAGAGTAAGCACTACTCAAGGGTAGGAAGAAAGGTCACAGGATTATAGGTTAAAATAAAAAAAAAAAAAACCCATGGGAAAACTGACTTGAGATAATCAAAATGATAGGCATGACAAAGGATATCCCCAAAGGGTAAGTTGCATTCTTTACAAATAGTTCGTACCTATATTGCTGACGGTATATAGGAGATTTCACCCCAAACTATGGCTCCCTGGTAGCTCCCAAGCTAGTTTTTGAGATATCTTCCAAGCCTTACATCCTGGTGAACAGGCTGATCCACCTAGAGCAGTCTTGATAATCTCCACAGCTCCTTAATTCCACCTTGAAACAAGCCAATCATCAGACCCAATTGCCTACCATTTGTCTGCTAAACTATAGTTTAAACCCTTTCTCTCTATTTCTCAGGGAGAAGGATTTGAAAATTTCCTTTCATCTCCTCACCTAGTGCCTGCAATATTAAAGTCTTTCTGCACTGTAACACCTGCTATCTCAGGGTATTGGTTTCCTCTTGAGCAGTAGGCAATGAACCTGATTGGGCTGTTAACACTCTTGCCACTTACATTTCTCATGACATAGATGACTATTTCACTGATCCTTGTTCTGAGGGTGAGTTGGATCTTAGAGAAGACACTTCTTTAAATGGCCCCAGAAACAGCTAGTAATAGTAGACATAAAAGTAGGTAACATTAATCAAACACTTGCTTTGTGCCAAGCCTATGCCAATACTCCCCATTTATTAATAGAGTCCTCTCAAATAAAATTCTTGGGTCTAAAGTATAATAACTGAAATAAAAATTACTAGGGTTCAACAGCAAATTTCATCAGGCCAAAGAAATAATCAGTGAACTTGGAGATAAGTTTATTGAGATTATTTAGTCTGAGGAAAAGAAAGAATATAGAATGAGGAAAAAGTAAACAGAGCTTCAGACATATATGGGATACTATCAAGCATACCAATATATGCATAATAGAACTCCTACAAGGAGGGGAGAGAGAGAAGAGGGAAAAAGAATATTTGAAAAAATAAGGCTGAAAACTTCCCAAATTTGGCACAAAACATAAATCTACATTTCCACAGAGCTCAATGAATTTCAAGTAGTATACATTTAAAGAGATCCATATCTAGACATATTATAATCAAATTACCAAAACATAAAGGAAAAGATACATTTTTGAAAGCATTAAGAAACAACTCACCACATATAAACAGTCTTCCATAAGATTAACAAAAAAATTTCTCATCAAAAATCATGGAGGCCAGGAGGCATTGGATGAAATATTCAAATTTCTGAAAGAAAAAGATAGCAACAACCATTAATTTTATATTCAGAAAAGTTATTTTTCAAAAATGAAAGGTAAATCAAGACATTCTCAAATAAAACAGACTTCATCACCAACAAACCTGCTCTATAAGAAATATTAAAAACTGAGTCCTAACAAACCTACCCTGAAATGAAAGAACACTAGATAGTAACTTGAATCCACATGAAGAAACAACTGGTACCATTAAATGGTACGCTATAGGTAAATAAAAAAGAAAATATAAATGTATTTTTTATTTGTAATTCTTTTTTTTCCTTATAGTGTTGTGAACCAGCATGACAAAGGGGAGTGAACCAACGTGGAATGGGTGGAGAATGGGAAAATTCAGCACAAGAAAAGACACAGAAACAAAGGATGGGATCAGAAGGACTGACTGAGCTGATGGCTACAACCAGCACCAAAACACAAAATCAGCATCATTTTATAGTATCTGTATAGAGTTGTTTAGGGAGAAGTTCCGTATACGGTTGTTTAGGGGGAAGTAGCATAAACAAAAGACATACTTTTGGTCTTGCAGTATGATGAAGATTAAATGACTTGAATAAAGACAAATCATCTTGTTAATAGTTTCTACTCAATTTCATTAACATATGACAAGAAGTAAGAAGGGACAGGCCACAAGAATCTCTGCATAATTAACAAAGGAAGAACTATGTGACTTAGTGGTTTCCACTTAACTTCATTAGCATATGACAAGTAAGAATGCAAAGATCACAAGGATCTCTGCATAGTTAACTAGACAAAGAAAGAACAGGTGACTTTCTTTGAGAAAGAGAAGGTGACTTTTGGCCGAGGGAGCATGAAGAAAGGAATATGACTGTTTTGGGAATGGAGGAGAAGCAGTTGGGGGTTCATTCTCTGAATGTTCCCCAGGCTGTGAGGGTTCTGCCATTTCACAGTGTGCTCTTCACATTATATCTGGTTTGAAGGCCACCACATAAAACAGTTAATGGACACACAATGTATAAAGTTATAATTTGGTTTTTCTCTTTATCATTTTTTTTAATGTTAAAAAAATCTACATGAAATCCTTCACAAAGTTTCATATTACCCTTTGTGCAGGGGCCTTGGTACTTTTCTCTGTATCTTTCCAATTTTATTATATATGCTACTGAAGTGAGCACAAGATGTAATCTGTATACAATCACAGCATAAAGGTGGAGAAAGGGAATAGAACTATATAGCAACAAAATTCTTGCATACTATTCAAATTAAGTTGGCATTAATCTAAATCAGATTAATTATTAGTTGTAATCTTGAAAGCAAACCATGAGTAAAATAACTTAAAAAAATAACAAAAGAAATGAGAAAGGAATTAAAGTAATACATAAGAAAATATCTATTTAATATAAAATAAAACAGCAATGGAAGAATATGAGAACAGAAAGGACATAAGACATAAAAAAAATCACAAAATGGAAAATATAAATCTTTTTTCAGCAATTACATTAAGTGCAAAGGGATTAAAATGGAGACATTGGCAAAATAAATAAAATAAAAACATGTAACTATACACTGTTTACAAGAGACACACATTACTTACAAAACCACAAATAGTATGAATTAAAGAATAAGAAAGGTACATTACACAGGTAGTACATGAAAGAGAGGTGACTAGCTATACTAATATCAGACACAATAAACTTTAAGAAAATCATTACTATAAAAAATGAAAGGAATTTTACGATGATAAAATTGTCGATTCATCAGGAAAACATAACTTCTATAAACATATATGCATCTAACAACAGCCCCTAATATTCTTGAAACAAAACTGAAAGAATTGAAGGGAGAAATTCGACAATAGCAATTGGAGACTTTAATACCTCACTATTAGACAAAAGATTAACAATGAAGTAGATTTAACAGCACTCAGAACCAACTAAACCTAACACATTTATAGAACATTTCACCCAATAACAATAGAATATGTATTCTCAAGTGCACATGGAACAGTCTCCAGGATAGACCATACATTAGCACATAAAATAAGTCTCAATAAATTTAGAAGAATTGTAACCATGCAGTGTATATTCTCTGAACACAGTGGAATGAAGGTAGAAATTAATAACAGAAGGAAACATGGAAAATTCATAACTGTGGAAACTTTAAAAATACTCCTAACTAATTAATGGGTCAAAGATAAAAATCATAAAGAAAATTTTCAAATATTTTTGGATAAATAAGAAAGTAAAAGCACAACATGAAAAATTTATGGGATGTAGTAAAAGTAGTACTTAGAAGGGTATTTATAACTGTAAACACCTATAGCAATAAAGACAAAAGATCTCAAATCAATAACTTAACTTCCACTTTAAGAAACTAGAGAAAGAAGATCAAATTAAGCCCAAAGCAAGGAAGAGAAAGAGAAAATTTTTTAAAGCATTGAAGAACAAAAGACATATACAGATAAGCAAGTACATTGATTACATATTTTTTATGGACACAGTACAAGCAAGAAGGCAGTGTAGCAAAATCTTTAAAGTAGTGAAGAACTAGAATTCTATACCAAGCAGAAATATTTCTCAAAAATGAAAGTGAGGCTTGGTGCCTCTGGTTCAAGTGGCTAAGGCGCCAACCACATACACCTAAGGTGGCGGGTTCGAATCCAGCCCAGGCCTACCAAACAACAATGATGGCTATAACCAAAAATAGCCAGGCGTTGTGGTGGGCACCTGTGGTCCCAGCTACTTGGGAGGCTGAGGCAGGAGACTCACTTGAGCCCAGGAGTTAGAGGTTGCTGTGAGCTGTGATGCCATGACATTCTACCTGGAGGGACAGCTTTAGGCTCTGTCTCAAATAAAAAAAAAAAAAAATGAAGGTGAAATAAAGACTAGATAATAACAAAAGATGAAGGAATTCATCCTGTCATATGTGGGAGTTTTAAAATCTATTTTGCATCATTTCTACAGATTCAAGTTTTCTATTTCATTTTTAAAAACAACTATGCAATTAAACAGTAGGGTGTCTTACTTTTTTTTCTATTGATTCAGTTACTAGCCAAAATAATACAAAATATTTTTTCTCTCTCTGACTGCCAAAAAGCAATAAACATCTAATTACAGACTGGAACTATAAGAAATAGTAAAGGAAGTTCTTTAGACAGAATAAGAACATGTTGGAATATAGCTTTAGATGAAGAAATAATGAGCATTAGACATTTTAAGAGAATTTTTCTTTTTTGAGACAGAATCTCACTATGGAGCTCTCTGTAAAGTGCGGTAGCGTCACAGCTCACAGCAACCTCAAACTCTTGGGCTCAAGTGATTCTCCTGCTTCATCCTTCCAACCTCCCTGTGGCACCTACCACAATGCCCGGCCATCTTTTTGGTTGCAGTTGCCATTGTTGTTCAGCAGGCTCAGATAGGGCTCCAACCCGCTACCTCCTGTGCATGTGGCTGGCGTTCTAAACACTGAGCTATGGGCGTCAAGCCAATAGAGAATTTTTTTTTAATGTTATTTAAGTCTCTACAAAAGGTGGCAATTTCAACAAAAATATTTAAGAATGTGGAGTTTATAGCACGTGAAAGTAAAACGTATGGCAACAACAACATGAAAGTAAAAAAGGCAAATGGAAATGTTTTATTTTAGGATTATTTTATACGAGGAGTGGAGCACTTACAAATAAACTGTGATAAACCAGATGTATATTATAAACTCTAAACCAAGCAATGAAGTAACAAACTGAAGAATTACAGCTAAGACACCAGAAAAGAAATAGAATGAAATCCTAAAGAATATTCAAGTTATCAGTGAATGGGAAAAAAGCGAACAACAAACAGATGGGACAAATAGAAAAGTAGTAGCAAGGCAGTAGACTTACATCTATACATATTAATTATTGCATTTAAGGTAAATGATCTAAATACACCAGTCAAAACCCAAAGGTGGTCAGATTGAAATTTTAAAATGAGAAAAAAACAAAGACCCCATATATGTTTCCTGCAGTAAATCTAAATATTAAGACACAAATAGCTCAGAATGCCATCACTTTTTACCTTACTTACTGCAACTTCCTAAGTGGCCTCCTTCCTTTCCTTTACTCTTGCTAATCTTCCTCCAACCCATTCTGTGTGTTGGGTTATTTTGCCAATGTCTTTGTTGTTCTGGTAAAATTGTTTGTGGGTAATAGAGGACTGCGATGAAAAAGTTCCCTTCCAGAGGGGGTCCTTGGCTTTTGTTAGAAAGTTGAGGTATTACCAGCTAAGTATTACTTAAAACTCAGTTCTTGGCTTGAGATTTTTTTTACCTCAGATATGTATAAAAACTAGCTTATAGTTATGACTCATACAACTTATCAAGATTCTGTCTCTGTCTCTGTGCATGTGTGTGTCTTTGCCCCTTGATCTGCTAAGTAACAGAGCAAATATTCTTGCAGTTCCCACAGAGTACAGTACAGTTTACTTCTAGTATACCTTTTGTGTGTGTGTGTGTTTCTTTTTTTTTTTTTTTAATTGTTGAGGATTCATTGAAGGTACAAGAAACCAGGTTATACTGATTGCCTTTGTTAGGTAAAGTCCCTCTTACAATTGTGTCTTGCCCCCAAAAGGTGTGACACACACCAAGACCCCACCCCCTCCCTCCTTCACTCTCTCTGCTCTCCCTTTCTCCCACCCCCACCATGTCATTAATTGTCCTCATATCAAAATTGAGTACATAGGATTCATGCTTCTCTGTTCTTGTGATGCTTTACTAAGAATAATATGTTCCACTTCCATCCAGGTTAATACAAAGGCTGCAAAGTCTCCATTTTTTAAATGGCTGAACAGTATCCCATGGTGTACATACACCACAGCTTGTTAATTCATTCCTGGGTTGGTGGGCATTTAGGCTGTTTTCACGTTTTGGCAATTGTAAATTGAGCTGCAATAAACAGTCTAGGGCAAGTGTCCTTATGATAAAAGGATTTTTTTCCCTCTGGGTAGATGCCCAGTAATGGCATTGCAGGATCAAATGGGAGGTCTAGCTTGAATTCTTTGAGGGTTCTCCATACTTCCTTCCAAAAAGGTTGTATTAGTTTGTAGTCCTACCAGCAGTGTAAAAGTGTTCCCTTCTCTCCTCATCCATGTGTACAGTGTTGAGAGTTTGTGATGTGGGCCATTCTCGCTGTGGTTAGATGGTATCTAGGGTGGTTTTGATTTGCATTTCTCTAATAATTAGGGATGATGAGCATTTTTTTATATGTTTGTTAGCCATTCATCTGTATTCTTTAGAGAAGGTTCTATTGATGTCTCTTGCCCATCGATATATGGGATTGTTGGCTTTTTTCAAGTGGATTAATTTGAGTTCTCTATAGATCCTAGTTATCAAGCTTTTGTCTGATTCAAAATATGCAAATATTCTTTCCCATCATCTAGGTTGTCTATTTGCTTTGGCTGTTGTCTCCTTAGCTGTACAGAAGCTTTTCAGTTTAATTAAGTCCTATTTTTTATTTTTGTTGTTGCAATTGCCACAACAGTCTTCTTCATGAAGTCTTTCCCCCAGGCCAATATCTTCCAGTGTTTTTCCTATGCTTTCTTTGAGCATTTTCATTGTTTCATGCCTTAAATTTAAGTCCTTTATCCATCTTTAATCAATTTTTATGAGTGGAGAAAGGTGTGGGTCCAGTTTCAGTCTTTTACATGTGGATATCCAGTTCTCCCAGCACCATTTATTGAATAGGGAGTCTTTCCCCCAAGGTATGTTCTTGTTTTGTTAATTGAAGATTAGGTGGTTGTAAGATGTTACTTTCATTTCCTTCTTTTCAATTCAATTTCAAATGTCTATGTCTCTATTTTTGTGCTAGTACCATGCTGTCTTGACCACTATGGCTTTGTAGTACAGCCTAAAATCTGGTATGGTGATGGCCCCAGCTTTGTTTTTATTACTAAGAACTGCCTTAGCTTTATGGGTTTTTTTCTGGTTCCACACAAAACGCAGAATCATTTTTTCCAACTCTTGAAAGTAGGATGTTGGTATTTTAATAGGCATGGCGTTGAATCCGTAAATTGCTCTGGAAAATATAGATGTTTTAACAATGTTGATTCTTCCCAGCCATGAGCATGGTATGTTCTTCCATAATATCCTCTCTATTTCCTCTCTTAGGATTTCATAATTTTCTTTATAGAGGTCCTTCACCTCTTTT